AGTGATCCTCTTTTCCTTAAGTATAAGATTCTAAAGATTAATGATCTGGTAGACTTTAACCAAGCTATATTTATGTATAAATATACACATAAACTTCTTCCTGCATCTTTTGAAAATATTTTTAAAAAGCTTGGAAACTTTGAAAGATCTCTTAACTATCAACTTGACATTCTCAAAATGTGCTCATTACAGTATTTACCATCAAGCTCTCTTCTTAAGATGTGGAATAACCTGCCTCTTGACTTAAAAAGAAGCAACTCTCTAAGTATATTTAAAAATAGACTACTAAATTCTCTTTTTGAAAATTATAGGACAATGTGTTATAAACCGAATTGCTATTCATGTAAAACTAATTAGATATGTTTTAATATGCTTTGATATTTGTTGTGTACATGTCAGAAAATTACTTTAAACTTATTCGAATTAATGTATAAACTTTTTTGCATATGATAAATTCGCACCCTGATCTCTAATCGTTCTCCTTAAATCTATTTAATTGAAATATTTTGTTATTATGACTAACATTAGGTGGAAAAAATAATCAAAACAGCCAAGAGCTATTTTCCACCTAATTGCTTTATACTTGTACTGTTACTATAATCATCAATTTGTGATTGTAAACTCTATCTGTATACAGATACATTTATCTTAGCAATAAACTTTATCTTATCTTATCTTATCATTTTGATAATTTTGATAATTCACATAAAAGTTTCCTATGACCAGAATATTTCATTGATTTTTTATGTGAAAGATGGATCCCATGCATATGTCAGGCTTTGACATCCGTCTTGTGTTTACATTACCTCCCAGAGACAGTACACTGCAGTACAAAAGATGCGTACACCTCTGAAATAACTTTCCCTGCATTACAGCCTTGAAAACCCTTGATTTTTTGTTCAATTAATTGGCATTGTAAAGTTGAGAATGCATTGCAACCCTATACCAGACCTTTACTCCTAGGCCTTTTTCTAGGGGTGGACGTGGGCCGCATCCCCTCCTTGGGCTATATGCAAAGATTCAGACCCCGAGCCTTTAAAGGGTTAACACACAGGGTTGCCCACAGAGGATGAGACTTCAGAGACGACTGTTCGATTTGTTTCATCTTTTTTTCTTGCATTGATTGTACCCTCTATAACTTTAAACTTTTTTATTTTTTTATTTCTTTATAAACTACTAAACTAATTAAGAAAACCTTTTAAAGAATATATCAAATACCCCAGCTTCCAATTTAATCTTCAGATCTTCAGAATTTAAGAGTTTCAGGGCGTCTTTCCAGTCTCATCCTTTTTGATTCACTCTGTAAAATGTATATCTATTCCAAACTTAATGCTGATTGTTAGAAAGGTAGAGCATTTATAACTAGTCAGTTTCAAGACTTCTTCATCTCAATATCCTGGTTTCCTTAAATTGCTGGCTTACTTTCCTGGTACCTACTTCCTTAATATTTCCCGTTTTCCTTATTTTCCAGTTTCCATCCTTGCCTGTCATCTACTTTCTTTCTATTTCCTGGTTTTCTTAATATCCAGTTTCCATTCTTTCCTGGTACCTACTTCCTTTCTATTTCCTGATTTCCTTATTGTCCAGTTTCGATCCTTTCCTGTAATCCACTTCCTTTCTATTTCCTATAGTTTCTTTATTACCAGTTTTCATCCTTTCCTATCATATACAGCCTTTCTATTTCATGGTTTCCTTATTACCAGCTTCCATCCTTTCCTGTAAAAACTTCCTTTCTATTTCCCGTTTTCCTTAATATCTAGTTTCCATCCTTGCCTGGTAACTACTTCCTTTATATATCCTGATTTGTTTAAAATTTAGTTTCCATCCTTTCCTGGTACCTACTTCCTTTCTATTTTCTTGATTTCCTAATTATCCAGTTTCCATACTTTCCTGTCATCTACTTCCTTTTTAATTCCCGGTTTCCTAAATATACAGTTTTCATGCTTTCCTGTCTTCTACTTCCTTTCTATTTCCTGGTTTCCTTATTTCCAATTTCCATCCTTTCCTGTCATCTACTTCCTTTCAATTTCCATGTTTCCATCCATTCCTGTCATCTACTTCCATTCTTTTTCCTGGTTTCCTTATCACCACTTTCCACCATTTCCTGTCATCTACTTCCTTTCTATTTCCTGGTTTCCTTATTACCTGTTTCCATCCTTTGCTGTACTATACTTCCTTTCTATTCCCTGGTTTCCTTATTACCTGTTTCCATCATTTCCTGTCATCTACTTCCTTTCTGTTACAGTATCTTTAACCTTACACGTTGCCCTATAGAATATAAATATGAATTGAATGTTTTAATCTACATAAATCTTTTTTTCTCAACGGCTCCACCCTTCATTCAGGTTTGTCTTAATGTTTTTAGACTTTTAAAAGGTTTAACAACTACATAAGAAGGTTTCAACATTTTAAAACCTTATTCTGCAGAAGTTTGCTTTTATCAAACTGTTTCCCTAGCAAACGATCGTTTTATTTTTAACAATAGTTTTTGGTTAGTTTTTACCTTATATTTTCACCTGGACAAGGTACTAATGCAAGGAAAGTTATTTCAGAGTTGTACGCATTTTTTGTACTGCAGTGCACTGTCTTTGGGCGGAAAAGTAAACACAAGACGGATGTCACAGCCTGACATGGAATCCATATTCACAAAAATAATCTATGAAATATTCTGTTCATAGGAATGCCCATCACTACTTATATATGTCCTCATTAAAAAATACATGTTACACGTTTTTATGCTGGTTATTTTTTCTAACTATATTTCTTCTTGGAAAAAGAACACAAATTTACGGTGTCTCCAACCATTGTAAAACTGCGAAGTTTAGCTTTCATTGCTTTTTTTCTATTTTTTTCATCCGTACATCTGATATTACAATTTAAATTTATAATCCCTGCACATTTACAACCTGAGGATAAAATTGTCTATTCCCTATATCTTTGCAATCTGATGTTGTAAACCTTTGATATTTCAGATTTGGAATATTTAATCTGACATAATTCTTAGTTTGAAATAAAATATTTAAGGTTTACGACATCTGGTGGCAGATACATAGGAATTAAAAAATCTGAGATTGTGACAAAACTAAGATTCTGTTTTGGGATTTACTGAATAACGCCCCGAAGTATTTTAAAGAGCTCATTCTGGAAACCGTCTTTTGTACACACCTTTACAGTTTTCCTCCTTTTGTACACACCTTTACAGTTTTCCTCCTTTTGTACACACCTTTACAGTTTTCCTCCTTTTGTACACACCTTTACAGTTTTCCTCCTTTTGTACACACCTTTACAGTTTTTCTCCTTTTGTACACCTTTACAGTTTTCTTCCTTTTTCTGTTCAGACGGTTTAGACGAAAAATATACAAATAGGCATAGTAGTTTCACTTGTTTATTTTGATACTAGGATACAATATTAAAAAAAAGAGAGAGGAGGGACATAATATAGGAAAGATGAATATATATAGATATAGAAAGAAACATAACAATTCTTAATGTTATTTACAATAAAAAACTCGCTGGCATACATTACACATTCATTCGGCAAACATAAAATTAACATAATAGTTCTCTTATAATACGGTTCAACTATTTACAAACTTTAGTTGCAATATTCGACGACAGACGGCGTTGGGAGTATCAAATTAGATATAAATAGGGCAACTACGGCAGTGTGACTGAATTGTTAGGACTAGATAGCGGTGTGATTGGACTTTGTGGCGTGTGATTGAATTGTTAGGACTAGATAGCGGTGTGATTGGACTTGGTATCGATGTGATTAGGAATCCTTAAACATGGCAGTGTAATTCGACTAGATATGGCGGTGATTTTGAAATTCTAATTAATTTTCATAATATTTTTCATATTGATTTAATGATTCTTATAAAGAGACTAGATGTAATGCTTTCCAACAGGGGATAGATTTGAATTTAAAAAAATGTAGGAATAAGATTAGATTTAGCTCGATTTGATTAAACGAGACTGTTTGTTTGTGTGTGAGGTTGATTAAAACTAAGTTGGAATGAGTTGTGTTAAATTTTAGATATTTTAGAGTTCCTAGACTAGATTGAAGGTTGCTTAGGACCATTAGGATAATAGACTCTAGTATATTAGGTCCATGATCAATAAAATAAACTTGTGTATTTGGTCCATGGTGGAAAAAAACTTAGGTCTATGATGGAAAATAGACAAATATATTAGGTCTATTATAGTATATTAGGTCCATGGTGGAAAACAATAGTATACTAGGTCTATGATGAAAAATAGACTAGTATATTAGGTCCATGATTAAAATAGACCAGTTTGTTGTGTCCATTATTAAAATAGACCAGTTTTTTAGGTCCATGATAAAAATAAACTAATAAATTAAGTCCATGATATATATTAGGTCCATGGTGGAAACAAAACTAGTATATTAGGTCTATCATGGAAAATAGACTAGTATATTAGGTCCATGATAGAAAATAGACTAGCATATTATGATCTATGATAGAAAATAGACCAGCATATTATGATCTATGATAGAAAATAGACTAGTTTATTAGGTCTGTGATAGAAAATAGACTAGTATATTCGGTTCATGATAGAAAATAGACCAGCATATTATGATCTATGATAGAAAATAGACTAGTTTATTAGGTCTATGATAGAAAATACACTAGTTCATTAGGTCTATGTTAGAAAATAGACTAGTATTTAAGTTCCATTATGACTAGCATATGTAGAGAATTGAGCTTCTGGGTCAGATTTCTAGTCCTTACAACACCAATAGATTTTTCTAAAAAATAAGGAAAATTTTGATTTTAAGAATTTTAGAAATAATAATATTCCAAAAATATATTAATTACAAAAAGATGTTTACCTTTTTATTCCCAGTGTGAGAGGAATAAAGGCTTACTGGGGAATTTTCTCACACCTCGGGTAGGAATAGGAAGCCTCCCATAGATATGGGAATAGTCGGAATCAGAGGAATCTGAAATGAAAAAAAACTATGATTAAAATTATTATTATTATGAATCCATGGCTAAAAATCTTTATTATTAAGGATAACAATTTTTAAAAAGTTTTGCCACAAATTCTGATTTTATAATCTCTATGTCTTTGCAACCTGATGTTGTAGACCTTTAAAATTTCAAACTATAAATTCTTTCAGATTAAATAGACTTAACTTTGAAAAATCCTATTGTTTACAACATTAGGTTCCAAATATATAGGAATTTTTTTTGAAAAAATTAATTTTTTTTCATATAAAATTACCATAGGGTCCAAAACTAGGCTGAGTCCTTCCATAAACTGGTTCTGCTGGGGAACCTAAAATAATATTATTATTAACATTTCGAAAAAAATATATTCTATTTTTGTAGATTTGTATATTTGAGAACCAAATCAATATCGTTAAATGTTATTGGACAATTTTTACAAGCAAGTGGCTTGTGGGGGCGCATAAAAACAAAAACGCTGGGTTTCCCAGCTAGGCTCCTCAACGGCTTTTAAAGGGGCTGTAAGCGTAGTTTCAAGTGACCCTCCATGCAAAGATGGTAATGTCTGATTCACAACGATAAATAAAAATAAAAATAATTACTTTGAATAATCAATTATGAATGAGATATCAATGTGTATAATTTAAAAACTGATAATTTTCAACTGTAGTTTCTCGGCAAAATTTCTATACGGCAGGAAAACATGTCAAAATTGCCAGAAATGAACCCTTATAAACCTAGAAAATCGACGTTATCTTCCACATTAGTGATCAAATTAAGGTTTCAGGGGTACCGTTGTGGATAGGGCATTGCAATCTTTGCATGTTGGTTCACTTTAAATGTTGCGTACAGTCCCTTTAAATGAAAAAAAGATAGAAGGCCCAAGATGCATCTTTACATGCATCATAATAATGCAAAAAAGTGTGTACAGGAAAATTTGCATGAGCAGAATGCATTGCAAATGTTACAACATTAGAAAACTCAACTGAAGAATTTTTCTTGAGTTTTGCAACATTGATAAATGGTGGGCTGAGAATGCATATATGTTAATTAGCTAATAAGCAATTATACAGCCGCATCTATACAGGCCCTAATAGGCATTAACGAGTTAAGAAGGGTGGGCCTTTGACCCCAGCGTTAATTTGTAAGAAGCCATTTTTCTCAACCGGCCTTGGCTGCAGCAGGAAACTTTTCATTCGAATTCAAGCTGTACATTATATAGACCTCAAAAATTTTATAAATATATATATCTGTAAAGTTGTTGGAAATTTGACAAATTGATACTCTAGACTGGGAGCTGAACATTGTGTGCCTGGATGGATCAGTAACATTTTGCTTTGTACACTTTCGTCTAGTGCACTTTCGCCTAGTACACTTGCGCCTAGTATTCATTCGCATAGTACACTTTCGTCTAGTGCTTATTCGCATAGTTCACATTCGTCTGTATAACATTGTGCCTGTATAACAGTTTGCCTGCATAACAGTTTGCCTGCATAACATTTTGCCTATGTAACAGTTTGCCTATAAAACATTTGATTTTATTTTACGCCTAACCCAGATTTTCTTGAAACACTCACAAACTTTGAAACAGGAAAACCCGCTAAACGGATTTGAAAATTCTGCAAATTCATTTTTTCTCTTGAAAATGTGACAGCACTTATCAAAGCTGGAGAATCTAAAAGAAGAAAGCCTTCAATTTTTGATAAAACTACTATTCCTTGGTTGGAAATGAAGGATATATAGCTAGAGACAACTAACTATTGGAGATGCTCTAGAAGACTGCAAAAAAACAGAAATCTCTTATAAGCCGTGGAAAGGATAAAGTTTTCGTTGACGGATTTGAGACAGGAGTACAAGGCAGGAGTACATACAAATTGGAAAAGAGTTGAGCAGGACAGACAAGTAAATTTGTATATTCTATCATCTGTACAGACAAGTATGATGTGATTTTATGTTTTGAGAATATAATTGAAAAACCAGTTCACAAATTTGATAGTCTCAGAAGTAGGCAAAAAACAGTTATACACATAGAGAATAGAATATATAGAGAGGAATTTACTGGAAAAAAGTGTAAAACGGCCATTTTGTTGTACTGTTTCCATCGAATGAGTACCAGGCGAATGTGTACCAGGCGAATGAGTACTAGGCGAATGAGTACTAGGCGAATGAGTACTACACTATAGTTTCAGTAGAAGTAAATATTTCCATTTACAGATAGCGCCGATTAAATGATTCATAACTCTGATTGTATATGAGCTAGATAGAAAGATAGATGTTACCGCCATACTATTTCTATTGGTTCAGAATAGACAACAAACACATGACTGAACCCTGATTGAATCAGGTACTAATGGATTCGGCATACAAGAGTGACTAGGTGAATGTGTACTAAGCAAAATGTTACTGACCCGCCAGATGTAAAGTCGAGTACTGTGTTAAATGGGTTAACGTTTTCATTTTTTTAAACGATCGTTTCAAAACGATGGTTGTCGTTAACGATCGTTAACGAAGAGAGAAGGATAGCGGAACCCGACCTGAAGACAATCGGTACTTATGATTGAGTAGTTTTAAAGAAAAGAAAAGAAGTTTCAGCTCCCCTACAACTTTTTTCAAAAACTATCAGTTTTTTTAAAAAAACTACCCTTTTATAAAGTTCGACGTTTCACTAACGATCGTTAATGACAACCATTCGTTAACGATAGTTTTTTTATACTATCGTAAAAACAGGTTTTTTTTATAAACGATCGTTTTCAAATACGATCGTTATTCGTTTTCTAATATTTAAAAATTGAGTGGATCGTTTTAAAAAAAGATCGGATTTCCCTGGACGAAACAATCGTTTTTGGAAACGATCGAAAAACGAAACAAAAATTAATCGTTTAACAATCGTTTTCAAAACGAATTTTGTGACACTCTTCTCTCACAGTTTACCAAAAAAATGCCAAAATAATGTATATCCTATTTTTTGTACAGTATCACACAGTACAGTTTAATAAATTTCAGTTTTTAAATTTTGCTTTGTTAATTTTCCAAGATAAACTAAATTTCGCTGCTTTTTTAGTTTAAATTGGTGCATTTTTGAAAATAATAAATGTCGACATTTTTTTAGGTATACCTTTTCAATTTTAACCCTCCAGAAACCTGCCCTCGACCGATGGGGTAATGTGAGTTGCCACAAAAAAGTGGTATATTTTTTATACCTGTAGAATTGTCTGTGTAAATCCTATTGTGCCACCAGAAGGGATGAGCAGGTAATGAACTGTGACCTGAGCTCACCTAAACAAATACGATGAGAACCAATGAACTCTAGAATATAAAGACGATTTGGAAACGTGGACGTGGAAACTTTAACGAGCTAAAGCAAGGCATCGTAAATGCAACTTTCATAATGTTAATTCTGTTGTAAATCAAATTCTTTATACAAGATTTGGATATTAAAAAAATCTTTTAGCTTTGTGACAACATCAAATAAACTTGAGTATTGCTATAATGTCGTCTTAATATTCCAAAGTTTATTGATTCATATTGTAGGAAAGTTTGTTATATTGTTTTATAAGTCCGCTGAACATGAGCTGACACACTTTCAATATATTAATATGAGACACTGCAATTGTGGAGTGTGTACAGACCCATTTGTTTTATTTAGTGATTTAAGAAGTTAGATACTAGTAAATCTTTTTGCTTTGTAACCACATCAAATACACTTAAGGATTACTTAATGTCGTTTTAATATTCCACAGTTTATTTTTTTCTCATTTTAGAAAAAGTTTGTTTTTCGTTTTCTAATTTTATTACAGTTAAAAAGTCAGATTAAATCTATTAACTATGAACAAATGTTTTGTAAGAAATAAAGTCAAGTATTTGTATATTGGGACACACTGTATTTATACATCTTTTGTCTAGCATATATTGGGACACACTGTATTTGTACATCTTTTGTCTAGCATATATTGGGACACACTGTATTTATACATCTTTTGTCTAGCATATATTGGGACACACTGTATATGTACATCTTTTGTCTAGCATATATTGGGACACACTGTATTTATACATCTTTTGTCTAGCATATATTGGGACACACTGTATATGTACATCTTTTGTCTAGCATATATTGGGACACACTGTATTTATACATCTTTTGTCTAGCATATATTGGGACACACTGTATATGTACATCTTTTGTCTAGCATATATTGGGACACACTGTATTTATACATCTTTTGTCTAGCATATATTGGGACACACTGTATATGTACATCTTTTGTCTAGCATATATTGGGACACACTGTATTTATACATCTTTTGTCTAGCATATATTGGGACACACTGTATATGTACATCTTTTGTCTAGCATATATTGGGACACACTGTATTTATACATCTTTTGTCTAGCATATATTGGGACACACTGTATATGTACATCTTTTGTCTAGCATATATTGGGACACATCGTATTTGATTATCTTGTATTCAGTATATATTGGGACACACTGTATTTGTTTATCTTGTGTTCAATATATATTGGTACACACTGTATTTGTTTATCTTGTGTTCAGTATATATTGGAACACACTGCATTTGTTTATCTTGTGTTCAGTATATATTGGGACACATTGCATTTGTTTATCTTGTGTTTAGTATATATTGGAACACACTGTATTTGTTTATCTTGTATTCAGTGTATATTGGGAAACACTGTATTTGTTTATCTTGTGTTCAGTATATATTGGGAAAAACTATATTTGTTTATCTTGTGTTCAGTATATATTGGGACACACAGTATTTGTTTATCTTGTGTTCAGTATATATTGGTACACACTGTATGTGTTTATCTTGTGTTCAGTATATATTGGAACACACTGTATTTGTTTATCTTGTGTTCAGTATATATTAGAACAAACTGTATTTGTTTATCTTGTGTTCAGTATATATTAGGACACACTGCTCACCTCATGCCCCGGTGTACTTCTTGACCTGGCAGCATCTCTCTCCTTCTGCTTTTTCTTTCGACTCTTCACAAAGTTCGGAATTCTGAACATTATGTTAGTTTTTATATTTTTAAATACAATAAGTCGTCTTTCAATTTCTTATGTTATCAAAGCTGAAAACTTTAGAATGGTGGATATCGAGATCAATGCTTGATCCTCTCTTTTTGTTCTTAATATCGAGAAAACCTAATCTTGTTCTTGTATCCTCAACCAATCAGAGTTGCGTATATGAGGCCGATAAATTTGAAATTTTGCGCGCCATTTAAGATTAATATACAGAAACGGGAAGGACTCTCTTTTTTAAAAAACCGGTTTTTGATTTTTCTCTATTATATATCCAAGAAAGAACGATTTAAGAAGAAAATCAAAAGTGTGTCCATTGGATAATCAGATTAAGTAATCGGGATTAAGGATATCACATTCTAAAGTTTTCAGCTCAAGTTGTCTTGTAAACTATGCAAGTTACGCTTTAAAATGAAATATTTTAATATTCAAGAATGTTTGATTATATTAAGTAATCTTCATAAAAATGTTTATTTGAAAATCTAATTTTAGTGGCAAAAAAAAATGTACTGTAGTCAGAACTTTGGTTTTGTGAATCTCGGGATTAAGCATCTTATGCAAACCTACGGATTAACTTAATTCCTCTTGGATATCCCATGATTGGTCTAGGGATAACTTTTATGGAGGGATCAAGCATGCATTGATCCTCACATTTAAAAGTGCCAACATCGGATATCAAGATCAGATTATCCACAAATAAGTTACGATCTCAGAAGGTGTACTCTGTCTTATTGTACTTCCAATAATACGAAAGATATAACAAAATAACGAGATATAAGATTTAATTTACTAAAATTATCCAAATGAGGTTTTGCAAAACTTTGGAAATCTTACACGCAGTAAAACCTCTTTTTTAATTCATATTTAAATATATAACGCTTGTTTACAGGTCGGATCGTTTTTTCGGCATAGTGCACGAAAAGCAAATATTTAGAATAAACATTTTTGAAACCATTAGATCTTGCACACTTTTAACACAAAAAGTAAATATTTAGGCAAACAAAATGACGTCACTACTAACCTGGCTGAGAGTCCGAAGTAGTATGGATCGTCTCCACCCTTCTTCTCCCTCTTCTCTTCCCATTGGTTGGTGCTGGGCTGTACTGTCCCGTAGATATTGTCCCGGGGAGGCAGCTGGGGTGGCACATCACGGGAGTTGGATCGGAATCTTAATAAGTAGTTTTTTTAAAGAATTGAGTTGTTGCTACATTAAAGCAATATGGAAGCAATATAGAAATTTGAGTTTTAGACACATACTCCATTCCTTAAAGTAAATGACAGCATAGATAATTTATCCATCAGATATCAGAATATTTTAACTAGATACGACTGGTTTAACTTCAGTCTTTACTTAAAAGATAAATTCTCAGTGACATTCGTATATACTTCAAAGATAGAACGAAGAGCGTTTATTCCCTTTATAAATATATAAATATATGACATGTACACTAAAAGGATAGTTGCAGTGTAGACAGCACAGGGGCGTAAATAAGGATTCTGTAGGGGGGGGTAAGTATTTTTAATTTGGCGCGCGAAGCGCGCCGAATTTTTTTTTACCCCCCCC